GCGCGTGTTCTCCTTACGGAACATTGCACGAATCTGTCAATTGGTTCACGGCCGCGTACGTTCGTATAAACGCGTCGTGGAGAAATAACGTATATGCATAAAATGATAAGACAGATTTCATAGCGGTAATTTCGCGTCGTGCCCAAACGGCTTACTCCGACGAACGACGGAGAAGTATTGCGCCGTGGTACGCCGGAAGGAGCTGTCGGTCGGCGCGTAATTTCGTCTCATCCGCTGAAATCTGGGAGCTTCGATTTGTCATTCCGCACGACTCGCGGCCCATTTGTCAGTCCGGGGGATCTGGGCGACGACGAGCAATAGTCGCGCCCGCGCGCAGCCGCGCGCGTTTTATGCGGCGCGATAACAATACGCACAAACGGGCGTACGAAAACCCGCTTGTCGGTGTGTGCATGGGCGCGCATTAGGGCTGTCCCCCAGCGTCGAGCGATTTCATCGGTGTAATTCCTGGCAATGCCATGCAAAATCGATAAGCTTTCAATTTCGAAACTTTCCGACAGATTTACAGTCTGACCTCGAGATTGCACGTTTTGCGACCAATAACCGAGGCTCCCGCTTCCCCGTGGGCTTCGCCCACCTCTTTTCTCGATCTCGCGGATGATCGTGATATAATTTAATTTGGTAAAACGGCCTTCGGATATTAGCTAGTGGAAATATGCACATTTTAGAGGTAGATAGATATAATGAATGGATCGCGTGTAGGCACTTGGTGCCCGAATGTATTACAGGTAAATAGTCATTTTCGAGACAGTCAGCAATAATTAAGATTAATTAATTCTGGTTTACACGGAGGAATATTATAAGAATGTATTAATTATAGCGTAGAATTTAGTTGGTTGAAGTTTGGAACATTTCTGGAGCGATTTTTTAAAAATTATTTGTCCCATTTCTAGCTTCGCATAGAGTAACTCATAAGTGCCACAAACACAACACAATACAAAATTTCGATCAAATACACGCGTCGGAAGACCCCTTATGTCGGTAAACCACTCCCGATCACTTAAAAAATTCTAGCTACGCCAAAAATGATTTGACCGATTTCTACTTTTGCACAAAGTAACTCCTAAGTGCCAGACACAAAATAAAAAACGTTTCGATCGAATATGCGTCGGAAGGCATCCTTATGCTCGATAAATCACCCTCTCGGTCACTTAAAAAATTCTAGCTACGCCAACGCGTGTCGATCGAGATGTTTCTTTCTTTAAGTCATGGCACTTAGAAGTAACATTGTGCAAAAGAAATGGGACAAATTCATTTTTGGCGTAGAATTTTTTAAGTGACCGGAAGAGTGGTTTATCGAGCATAAGAAGCCTTCTGTATGTATTTGATCGAAATATTTTGTATTGTGGCACTTATAAGTTACTCTATATATACGAAGCTAGAAATGAAACAAATTATTTTTGAAAAATTGCTCCAGGATCGTTTCAAACTTAAACCAGCTATATACAATTTAGAAAATATTATTCAACGAAATCTGGTTCCATGGATATAATACATATATTGTTGAAAGAGAAGGTCTTATATTTATATTCTCTTTGCGTTGTGTTTAACTCAACGCGAGAATAAAAATTACACGGATACATGAACACATTAAAATTTTTTTTCTATTATGTCATGCTATGCTATTTTACATATTTATCTTTATCGAAACTATGGCAAGCCGATCGTACAGTATCACGTGTTAGATCGTTAACTTTCATGCTGCGACACGTGCAACACCTGTCGTAAGCGTAAAGCATCGCTTTAGCGCTTCACGGTGGTTAAAACGGGACCCGGCCTGGGCTTAATGACGCGGTCGGATGTTAATTATACGATATTCCGCGAATCCATATACTGACCGCTGGAAACATGGCATTGTCCATTGAACAGTACGATTGTAATACCGAGCGAAGGCACAACTTGCCCGAGTCCCGTCCTCGATTTAAATGACTCCCGACATTATTGCACGAATTACACGCCTGACCATTTCATGGATGCTGCTACCATTACGGTGTGCATCAGAGTGATTGAAAAGATCATACAAATCTACGAAAATTCGATAGCTGGACAGCCGATTCAGAAATTTATTTATACTATCAACGTACGCACGTTGATGTATTCTTGTATCCGTGCGCCATTATTTATAGCGGACAAAGCATATAAAAAGCGGTTTTTTGTTAGTTACAACGCGGGATAGGTTTATCGTCTAGCGGTTCAGAAATATCAATACGTTCATTGCGAATACACAAGATAAGTAAATTGCATTTATTAGTATACACTCGTATTATTATATGACTCGCGATCATAATAAATTCCGAATGTATTAAAACATACATTGAACATTTAACATCTTTGAAATAATTCATAAAAGTCAATACAATCAGATCGATATTGGTTGCACTATACTTCTCTGTCTATTAGATTGCATAATTATTTGCTTATAGTACGTCTTTTGATGTTAAGTTTCTCTATACAATATTTTATTTGGAAATAGTTTAACCGAGTCTTTAACATGAATAAGCTATAACAAATAATCATTTATTTATACAAATAAAATAATATAAATAGAAGAAAACTAAACAGTTAAAAAATTTTATAAATAGGGAAAAATAGAAATTTTTAATAAATATAATAAATAAATAAATATATATGTATATGTATTAAGATTACATTAAGATTACAATTGTAATGTATGTAACGTAAGAGAGAAGCGGGAGAGGGAGATGAGAGTAGGGGTGGAATAGGAGGTGGGAGACAAGCCAGGAGGAGAAACGAAAGAATGGAATTTGGAATCAGTCGAAGCTTGAGCCACGTTTCAGGACTGATCACTGAATTGAGACGACTCTATTGATATTGACGGCAGATCATTACGAAAAGGCTGTCGCTAGCAGCAATACGGAATCCAAGGGGCGATACTTGTGGTTACTAAGTACTCAGAATCGAGATTGACGAATTGTTGATGACGAGGTCTGGATAATTTAAGAAGCGTGGCTCACATCTAAGACGGGCTTCGGCATCATCGCATTTGGCTGAGATAAGTACTCCTAGATATCTCCCTGTCTCTCTCTCTCTCTCTCTCTCTCTCTCTCTCTCTCTCTATCTCTCTCTTCCTCTTTTAGCCATTCGATAGTTACCTCGCTAAGTTGTACGCGATCATTGTATTGAGCTTTTAATATGGATTAATGACGAGATGCGTAACTAATTGTACAAGCATTGTAATTCTATTATATAAACGTCGGACTTCTGTGAATCAATTAGCGAACGATTATAAATATGTAAATATTCCTGACAATTATATTGCATGACTGTCGAAAGTATATGAGTGCCGTTATTTCTATCATAGACACTGATAATAATTCCCTTTATATGTAATCATTACACAATGTATTAAGACTACATTTTTTTTAACTTTATATTCCTCTGTTATTTTTTATAGTTATGCAATTTGTATCCCAGACAAATCGAGTAGCAGTGTTAAATAATCCTGTGCGGACGATTCCGCCATTTTATAACCCCGAGCTACGCAACGATTTTACAATTTCGCAGATTAAACAATAGCTTTCAAGAGATTCGTATGCGTGCATTACCTTTTTCTCCCGTAGTATTTTAAATTTTCGAAACAATCAAAATTTTGCGCTGGCGGTATAACGACCGCAACGTGCGTCACAGGGCGAAACTCTACTACGCGAGTTCTAAGTTGACAATCGCGGCAAAAAATTCGATGAAAAAATTTACACTGTGTCACGTCCGCAAATAGTATTTTAATGGCCGTACATTAATTATCTTTAATAAGGTCTCACGTTTTTTGAGAGATGCATGTACAGGGAAATATCTCCATTCGATTTAACCTCATCCTTGATGTTGCCTTTTGAAAAGCGACGTCTACCGACGCAAGTGACAGCGCGACAAATTTGTCAAATAAATCCGCGCATAATGACGACGCAAAGTGCCTGCGACGGAAATCATCGCGCGGCTGAGCTGGTCGGTCGAACTTTTAACGTTTAAACTTTCGTAATGAAGTCCTGACCTTTTGAGCGTCGCTCACGACGGCACTTGCGGGAATTTATCACTATTCACCGGTAATACTTTCGCGCGACAACATTTGTCAGCGTTACGTCAGTTGATCCACAGCCGGACGGATCGATCGAGCGGATCGATCCACGCGGTTACCCCCTCGGCCTGGCTCCCGTCCTCCCGTCCACAATCCACGATGAAGAGGTCGTAAAGTCGGCGGGCTGGGCGACGCCGAGAAGTTGGGTTGGTCGAACGATAGACAGTTCGCTCAATTATTAAAATAAAGTCCCCGCTCCACTTTCCGCTGGAGCTGGAGGAGGGGGAGGAGGCGATGAGGCGGATTCGTCGCGAGAATGAAGCCGGGAATTCACGTCGATCTAATTCATACACGCCTGGCGTGCAATCGGGACGCCTGGAATCGTTGGAACGCTTCGGCGTCTGGATATGTTTGCCGTCTCTCGCAAACGGTGCTGCATGATCGACGCGCTTGAACGCGGTTTTAATTACGCGAAGAGTGAATGAAAGCAAATGGAAAATGTTGCGATAAAAATATGTAGCGAGAGGCCGGTTTTGCGGGAATAAATGAACGCGAAGCGCCGTGAGCAGTTCTCGCAACAAAATTATTGCGAGTTACGACGAAGAAGAATATTATGATTAAGAAGTTTATTTCTAATTATTTCTGTGTTAAGACAATTATTCTAAATTGAGGAAGTGCTTGTACGTTAGGCCTTTTAAATATGTTTAAAAAATGATTGTTATAAATGTTATTCTTTTAATTTTTACTAAAATGATATTAAATATTCTTCTTGTCTGTTAAGTTCAAATATTAAAGTGACAAAATAATACGAAATAATTTATAAAAGAAATTGTGCATTAAAATCTGAAAATTATCCCAAATCGTATATATAAATAATCATTTCTATGGCAATCTCTTCTGGATAATAGTAGCGGTAACTGATCAGTGAATAACATTGCGTTTTCCAGCATTAAAGCAATGAGGTCGCACCGCATCTTGCTTGCTATTCCGATGAATTATTACAGCGTGATGCATTACTTGCTGAAAGATTGCAATTCTTCACCTCGCCTCATTCGTCATCTTGGCCTTTCTCTTCGCGTGCATTATACACACGGCACGTCATAGGATTGTGTAAGTCTAGTTATGCGCGTACATATGTCAGGTTCAAGTGTCATATGGTTGTGTATTCTTGTAACTCGCGACTTGGCATGAACAGCAGCAAGGAAATTCAAATTACAAACGTAACACGAAGGTACGTCGAAATATTTGTGATGAATAACATGCATGAGAATTAATCAAGTTTTGCACCTTAAATACATTACGGCGACACTTCTGTTCAAATATGGTGTTACAATTCTTGAACGGAAAAGCTATTATAACAGCTATTATAAGACAGATTTTTTCGCCAATTTCTCGCCATCGTAAATAAAGCTCGATCCAAGCCCATGTTTCATGTTTTTTGTGAATTTTATTCCGCGCGATGCATACGCAACTATCAAACATGTGTAATAATTAAAATAAACATTCGGAGAAGCGAACATACAATTATCATGATCGTACACATACAACAAATCAAATTTCCAGATTTCTATCTTTTTATTTTTTCATAAATATTGTTAAAATAATATCGGCCGTCGGTTGTAAAATCCATGTTTTATACATGTAACATGCATGCTAAAATAATGTATTGCTTTTTACAAGTAATAAATTAAGATATTGTTTTCATACAGTATAGCTCGGAGTAAGGCAAATTAATTATCTGTGTTCTCAGAGTATTCTTCACTTACATTTTCTTTCTCGCGTCGCGCGGACATGTTTTTCATAAGAGATTCAGGAGTTTCACCGATCTTCTCGATTTTCCGAAATTCGGTATCAGCTCACCGACGCGACGCTCGCTGCAAGACTAAAATACCAACTCGGCACCGCCGTAGCTTTCTGTTTGCCGACGGCACGCATTCTCGTCTCAAGCAGAAAGCACCCAAGCCAATGATTACATTCCTCGAAGCGTCGACCCGATGTTCCGGCGACGGCACCGAAATAATAATATCGCTCGATTGCTCCGCCCGGGTGAATTAGATCGGTCGTGCGGACCGACGGGGAACCACTGGGTTTCCGGGTAGCTGCTTGAATGCACAAATGATTGGTGGGATCGCAGTAGCAAGTAGGCGCCTGGCGTCTTTACCCCCGGTTTGGTCGGTTCGTTGCTCTTACAATGGTCCGGTGAGCCCTCTGAGCCGTCTGAGCCAAGAGAGTGAGCTTTCCTCTCGTGGTAGAACGGTACGGCTACTTGCTATGTGCATCTACTGAGTTTGCATCGTTATTTTCCTCGGAAGACGATTTTTCCGAGGCAACGGATTCGCGCGGCCGCTACGTGGCCACGTGTTTTCTTAATCTGTGCCGGTTAATTAGAGAAACGAAAGTATAAAGCGAATTTATTTACGATGCGACAGAAAAAGTGATGTGTGCAATATTGAAATAAGATCTCTGTAGGAGAGAGGAACGCAAGGATCTATGTAAAGAGACGGAAATTGTAAGATTTGATGATTTCAATATCTATATGTGTTTATGCGTATATTTCTATATTCTTTCAAGTTTAGTGCGTACAAAATACCGGTACTTCGTGCAGTAGTTTATCAAAGATGAGATGAAGAGATATATTGATCGGATTTGAAATCAGATACACTGTTTCTTATTCCATCTGCAAACTATCTATATCGCGTACTTCGAAGTAATGTATAAATATAAGGATTGTCACGTAGCTCTCCAAAGTTCTACTGTTTCCAATATTACAGAGTGCATCTCATCGTATATTTGAAGTCCATTATATTTTATGTATCCGCGTGCCACAGCAAATTTACGTCAACTTTCATCTCCTTGAGAACATCTTGCTCGTGAACCAGGTTGAATCCAATTAAAATTGTAATTACGATTCGACATCAACGCGCAGTTTCCTTCAAAATTCCGATATTCAAGATCTTAATATTTTATTTTGACAAAAATATATAGTACAATAGAATTACATTTAATTATACCTTCATCTATCTATAATCTATATACATATAATACTTCTATGTTTCAAGCTATAATTAAACGTGAGATACTTGTTCCAATTGTATATCATATTGACTGTATAAAAAATCGAATTATTGCGTAGATCTTATACATTAATCCTAAAATAAATTTTTAATTATTTTTAATTATTTATTATTCTCTATTTAGTTTCAAATACATATTATTTTTTGTCGTATTAATTTTCTTGTTAATTGCAATTATATGCGGCACATAATAAAACAAATGCTACTTGCATTCCATAATATCCAATTAATCAATATATGCGTTAATAATATCCAATTATAGATAGTTTGATATTTAATAGATTTTATTATTTGGGGTCTTACAGATTAATGAACATAATACTCGAAACAATTTTGAAATAACATGTATAAATACTTTGTTGATGATGTCATATCATAAATAATAATATCAGATTTTAATTTGACAAAAGAAAGGTAAAAATACTTTACCGGTAAACAAGTTTATTGAAAACTATTAATGTGTGTATTAATACGTGTGACGCTTCTCATACAAAACAATAAAATTAATTCAGACGAACAGGTATAGCATTAGCGTGTATTCATGTGACATATGAGCCATATTTATATTTATCCATATAATTCTCTAAATATCGAATGTTTATAATTTCTCTGTTTCTCTCTCCCCTTTCTTTCCCTTTCTCTTTCTAAATATAACATGAAAGCAGCGTAATAACGTAATGATAGGCATATAATAATATCATACTGAACATTCTGTTACGTAATTCTAACATTGTAGGGTCTTTTTAACTATAGTAAAAGTTTTCCAAAGCCACTCTCGAGTTAATGTAAAACGCAATGTGAACGAGGGCTCTCTGAAAATTGTGTTTTACATAACAATTTGCATTTCCCTTAGCTGTGCCGACCGACATTCATGAGTGGCGAGTTTCAGTGCGGAGTGCACTTAAATTCCTAAACCATATTGTCGAAGACGAGATCCATAAGTAAGGTACGTAAATGCTACAGTCTGGAATTTCTCCGCATCCCTCGTCTCACTTTTCGGCACTTTTCCTCCTCCCCCCCCCTCCATTTTCTCGGGGAATTACGTTTTGCGTATACAGTGTCCTTCACCGGTCTTAGACGGAATAACGAAGTCGCTTTTTCAGATAAGGGAAAGACGTTTCGCTCTTGAGAACGCGGAAACATGCCACGCGCGGTATTGGAAAGTAAGAAGAAAGTAAAAACACCGAGAAACCATTGCGAAAGGGAGCATAGCTATAGCGTGAATGCGGAAACAGGGTGCGCTATTAGTTCGAAGAAATAAATACAGATGAAAAAAAATTTATTTTGCATGTATGCACAAGTATTTTCGTATCTTCAAGCATTTTTGTGATTGATCGTTAAATAGTATGACTCGAATCTGATAGCACGATAGTACATCGCAATATCGAGCACATTACTCACCAGAACACGTTCTCTTCGTCAGCTCTATGTCAGCCGTGGGAAGCACGATTTTGAAGACCACGAAGTTTCGTTTCTGTCTGAAGCACGGTGCTCCTTTGGAATCGCCCTGAAAGCAAGGGAACGTGCACTTTGTGTTTTGGTCGACGTAGCAGACATCATTCAACCGGAGGACGGACGTAGTATAACGAGTACGTTCACGATTGATAATTGATTACTGACTAATCACGAAATACGAGATTTTATAGTGCACGTTTGATTTGTATGACAATTTGTAGGAGCAATCAATCTAATTAATTGGAAAATTTGTATCAAGCTATTTTTTTTTTACGTTTATACATAATACGTATATTCATAATAAGATTTCATTAGACTTAATTTTATGAGATCAGATGGTCTCCGAAATTATCGGCCGAAATTAAATGGATTTCGTAAAAAATATATAAATTAAATGGATTTCGTAATAAATATATTATCTATCGCGACTGACTACAAAATTTCAAAGCGACAGCACACTTCGCGCACATTGAATCTAAATAGATATATCAGCGGCGACAGAATCGTCGCAGAATCAGAGGTATATATGTATTGACATAGGAGTTGTATAAAGTCGTAGGTAGTCTGCGGATATGCAAGTCAAGTGAGAGGCTCCCTTCCGCCAGCGTCGTCGCAAGGAGACAGCCGATTTCGAGAGGACACGGTGGCAGAGGGAAGCGGAGTGCGCCAAGGAGGACCCGATCACGTCGTCGACGAAGTCGTCGGCGAACACGACGCGTTGTTCCCATTGATCGACTCCATTCGCAGCATATACGGGACTTTGGTCTCTCTACCCGCGGGGATTTGGCACTTTGACGAGCTCGCATCGCGTGGAAAAGAAACGCGTCTGTCTTCCGTTTTTCTCCTCGCTTTTTCCTTCCCGCGTACATACATGTCTATCTATTTGCGTTTAGCAATAAGTTTCTGTTCCGTTCATCCGAATTATAAATTCGATTCGACCGATCAATCGCCGGATTTGTCTCACCGGATAATCGCGTTTGAGAACCTTTTGCATCGCCTCGCTATTTACGTCCGTTTTCTTGGTCGACTCAACGATACAATCGATGCTTTCGGCACGGAACATCGATGCTTTAAGCACAACGAGACCAAATGTTTGTCCTCCCAACGAAAAGCTTAATTACGGCGCTTTCGTCGGGGATGGAAACAGCTCAATCGTTGTCGCTGCGGGTGACTAATTCCGGATCGACTTAACGTAGGAGCTAATTTCGCACGTACGTGCACGTGGAAAATTTCTTCCCGTGTTTAGGCGGGGTAGGCATACGCTCGGTGATGAACGAGATGCGGCGAGATGTAACGAAACACATAGCGGCAAGAGTTTATGGCGCGGCAACTCGCTATTATTTGAATGCTTCGTGCAAGAGAAATGATATTCTAGAACGCATTGTGAGTCGCTTGCCGCAAGTTGGGATTGGCTCGTAGATCTCATAGGTACAGAATTTAATATTTTACTGCATGGTGTATAATATTTAGCATAGGTACAGAATTTAATATTTTACTGCATGATGTACAATATTTAGCACTGTGTAGTAATAGTATTAGTATTAGTATTTACGAAAGATCTTATACTAATTATAATTGATGCATATTTAAAGAAATATTTATTATCGACGGTATTTTCGTCATTATTGAGATTCTGTTATTGATTGTTATCGATTTATTTTACATTTCTACACGGAAAGAACAATTTTGCTGAATCCAGATCTGAAAATAATTTTTGTTCAATAATCAAAATTATTTTGTGCGAAAGTCAAAACGATTGCTAGAATATCAAAACGTTTTACAGCAATACTTATCAGTTTTAACATTCCAACAAATTATTTTGATGATTCAATAAAAAATTATTTTCAGATCTGTTTTTAGCAAAATTTTTAGGTCTTTCAACAAAATCGTTCTTTCCGTGTATTGAAAAAAAATGTATAATGTACAGTAATTAATAACTTGATTAAAATAATAATAAATTATGGCATTCTTGGATTAATATAATATAGTAGATATTTAATGATATAGTAAATATTGCAATAATTAAATTTTTTAGTTGTAATGGATTATTAGTAACAATATTTTTAGACAATAATATGACATTTTACTTTTATACGTACGCTATTTCTTGCACTTTGTGCTTCTCTGTTATAACTTATTAATTCTGTTTTTCCGCTTGTTTACTTACTTGACTATTCTTTTTCTCTTAAGCGCGATAAATAAAGGTATTTTTCTCGGCGAATCTCTCTTTCTCTGTGAGCTACAATACCGTCCGCTCTCACTCCCTCTCTATCCAATTCTTCTTCGTTTCTCATTTCCGCGTGCAATTAAAATCATGAGGCCAAAGTAACTTGGAGTCTTTGAAGAGTTACATGGTTTAATCTCTGCTCCCTCTAACGGCCATCTTTTTTAATCTTTAATGAATGTCATCTACCTTCTTCACGCCCTTAGGAGACACAACTGCATAATTACGTATCCTGCATTGCGTTTACTGTCACATTCGCTGAAGTATACATCAGTTACGTTGTAAAACGGTACTCTCATTTGCATTGCCATACATAATTCTTCTTACGTTTGAAAAATACAATACCATAATCTCTCAATTTGTAATAAAAAGAACGGTGCGTCTTTTTGTTACAAAACGCAGATAATAATAAATAAGTAAAAGTTCATACATTTGTTTTCTGCTATAAAAGAAATTGTATTTCTCTCTTTTCTAATACTCATATTGTGATTCTCATATATATCTTTTATGAATATATAATATTATTTTATTATAATAAGAATGGTTCATTTTTCAATTTATTAAATAAGAATATATAATCTAATTAATGATATAATTTTATTATAACTGATCTAAGAACTTTCAAGTTAAAGGAATTGTGATTGATCTGTAAAATACAACCTGTGTACAAGCATATATATATATACATATATAATACAAATATAATATGTATTACATTACATTACGTTACAATGCGTATAAACTGTAATAATGAAATGAAACTATTATACGAATAATTTTACAAATCAACGAAAAGCTTGAAATGTAGTAACAACAATGACGCTCATATTAACTGTTTTATGTAAAGAATGTATACAATGTTTATACTACATTCCTAACCGTATTCTATTTTAAATTAATTTGTTATGATGCCGTGTCATGATCCTGTTCCATTATATTGTAATAGCAGGAAACTTGTTCTAGTTTGTTATTACATGAAATGAATATTTATGTAATCAATAAAATTTGATAACCAGTATTACATATTATTCATAGTAATCAAAATAAGAGTATAAACATGTAATAAGTTTAAGAATAAAAAATGTATGTAATTAAGAATTAGTTATCGTGACAATTTATTGCGCTATAACATGAATTAAAGATATTAAATTTAATATTATAATAGTAGATACGTAAAGAAATTATCAGTTATAGTTTTAGTGTGTTTTCACGAACTTTTTATTTTGATCATAAGTGTTAAAAAACTTTTTCTCAGCCTATAATATGTATATAACACATTTCGTCGTATTAGAATTTATAATAGTTCTTGGATCCACGTATGTGATTCGAGGGCATAATACACAAAAGCATTACTAGCTCTTTGATTTTAATTGCAGTCATTATGATAATTAACGTTGAATTATGCTCAGGAGCGGAAAATCGATAAAGCTCGGATTTGTCTCGTCGAGAAGAAAGGGTACTTTTCCGGCGGGGATCTGTTATACTAAAAGATACAGTGGGGCGCGAGAGAAAAGAAGAAATGGAAAAGAGTGCGAAAGAGAGAGAGAGAGAGAGAGAGAGAGAGAGAGAGAGAGAGAGAGAGAAACGGAAGAGGTACAATGAAAAAGGAGAGAGGCAGCGCGATTCGATAAGACTTAACATTAATACAACTCTCTTTTGGAACATCCCACGAGACGAGCGGACTACGACTTCCCTATATTTAACCCTGTCTCATCGAGCAAAAAGGAAACCGACTTATATCTCGGAGGTACTGTGTCTCGCTGGTCGAGATTACATGGATAATTGGGGTCTCCATCTACTCACTCTTTTCTCACATTCCATTTCACTTCGACTACCTCAGCCTATCTCCCTCCACGTTATTAACCATGGATCCTCGTCGTTTCGCGAGGGGATGCGCCGTTGGTCCCCTTTGACCTCCTGGCAAGTCGAGTAGCTAATTCGTCGAGCCTCACAGCGACCGCGAGATATAGTAAGCGGTTAAATAAAACTGAAAGCTATTAAAAAGTATCCTATATATCGGGAAGTTAAGAAACGATAGAAAGCAATTTGGCTTATTGCTAGTGTAAATTTATTATCGTTTATGTATCCCTGAAGATGTAAAAAAAAAGGAATAAATAGTGAGGATAAATCAAGCTATTAGTCTAAGATCGATTGCAGTTCTCAGCAACCTTGTAAGTACCTTTCCGCTAAGTAATAGCACCGCAAGTTTCAGACTCATTAACGTTCGAGAGGTCGATCACTCTTACATACCATTAGTCACTTCGCCGCAGGTAAAGCAATTATTCTTCAACGGCGTCTACAGCCAATGCTGACAAAATTATTGGAGAAAGATAAGAGGGGCAGACCGTCGCGCGGGCGGCATCAGAAAGATCCCATTGTCTCCTTTGGAAACTTTCTTTTTGTGCCGTTCATTAAGCATAGCAGAAGTTGACGGTAGACCGAATGTATACGTAATAACAGATGGAAAGGGTCGCGTAAAAACGGAAGTGGAAGACGTGTTTCCGGAGGAGAGAGAGAGAGAGAGGTGGGAGGAAGGATCGATGAGATACAACGGTCACGCCAAAGATCCGTACGTTATCACGCACCGCTACCCCTTCTGGCGGTCGCTCGCGTTTACGACTGATCATAAATGCGACGCGAAACGTTCGCCAGACTACGATCCCATTCCGATGGAAAACTTCCGCGGGAGGGGGGAGGGGGAGCGAACGGGACCTTTTACATCGCTAATATCGCGCGATTGTGGGACTCCTTACTTCGTTCACAGGAAGGAGAAAGAAAATGTCTTTCGCCGCGGTCTCCCGGCGCCCGCGAATGCTGACGAACTATTGTGGACGGAGCACCATGTTGACGAAGGGCGAGAGCAAGTCACAATGCCCGGCAACGGGCGTTCGAACTGGATGGAATTTCACTCCGACGAAATTTAATTTCTTCGCGAGCTCGTGTCCGAGAAAGCGCGATAGAACGTCTCGCAAGGATTGGATATCCAGCCTTAACGTCAGGAACGGCGGGGTGGGGAAGGCGGCGATAGTCGTAGAAGCCGTGAGAATCGCGGAGCGGGGGAGGAGGTTTGTGCGAACGCAGGGTGAAGGAGTGAGATGGGAAGGCCGGTACCGAACGGACGTGGCCTTTTTCCGTTGAAAGAGCGAAAAATGAGGATTCCGTGCGCGGAGGCAGAGTTATTGAATATCAAAGTTTCGAAATTCCGCGGTGCCAGCAAAGTTCACTCGAAAACATAACTTATAAGTAACTTCGACCGGTGGGAGGGGGAGAGGAGGGTGGTGGGGTTCGATAAGGAGGGGTATGAGGACAGAGAAACGACGGCGGGTCACCCGACCAAGGGTGAAAAAGCAGAAGGGCGGAAGTCGTGAGTCGGACTGGAAATAGTAGAGGAGGAGTCGCTCGTGTAGGGCGGGAGAGGAGAGGAGGGGAGAAGGATAGGGTTGATCGTGGTGAGGCAGGACGATGGGAACGAGGCCGCGATCATTCGTCTCCCTGAGCCGGAAGTTAGGCTGTGCTCCGACTACGAGGACGAAGTTTGGTCAGAGTCCAAGTCGCTAAAAGGAAGAAAATTTCAGAAAATACGGAGCAGACGTAGCGCGTACGTCGCGAGCCATTGGAGAAATTTAGCGCGGCCTGGTATAGCGCGTTACGAACCCCCGCGCGGTCCCGCAAACTCGCGAAACTCTTTTAAACGAACTAACGTCGGCAACATTGTCCTCCAGAGTATCCTCCGCAGGGAGGAAGAGAAGCCCCCGAGCGTGAACGCGGTGTCTAAGACGGGAGGGAGAATGGGGATGGAAGGATGTCGTACAGGATGAGCTCCACATCGCACTACAGCAATTCCGGGCCGCTACCAAGAAAATGCTCTCCCGGCGGCAGGAAGAAATCCGCGTGGTCTACGTCCTTTTCTGAACGCGTATTTAATGGCACCAAAGAGATGGACCTTGATATAGAAGAGGCACACGTAAGTTTTTTTTTAATTCCGACGGTGAGCAATATAATTAAAAGTAGTTTCTTTAAATGGATTTTTAAAGGAAAAATTGCGACAATCTTAATGTGCATTTCTTTCTCTACTCTTTAATAAATATATCTATTTGAACAAAACGCTATATAGGTGTAGCTCAGGAAAAAATTTTTTTTTATAACATTTTATTATTACAAAGATTTGTCGTGTAAAATATTTAACTTCTTAAACTGTTCTGTTAAAATCTTTTTTAAGTGTATATTTTGAAACTCTCTCTTCTACCTGTGTTTTTAAATTAACGATTTATAGATCGGTTAACAAAAGTAAAGATAATTTCTAAAAAAGGATGAAGCAAAGTTGGCGTTATCTTTATTACCCTGCAATCTCTTTTTCCGTTGAATAATAGAGGTCTTTCTAGACATTCCTATATAAAACTCGATTGCTTTTATTTATATTGTAACGAGGTAGGGGCAGTTTTCTAGACGATTACAGCCGGAATTTGCACCG